ATTTTTAACTATCCCAACCTTTTCTCCCGCCATTATCATTTACTCAATTATACGATTCTACAGGTTTCACTTAATTCGGATAGTCTGGTTCTTCGTTCTTCTATTATTTTATCTACATTTATTTTACTAACTCATCTTTTATTTAACACTAACCCGGCCACTATAAAACATTCTTTATCTGCCACATTTTAGTAGTATGCCTGTCATATGTTCATATAAGACCCAGATATGCAGGTTTCACCCAATTTTAGGTTAATTGTAAATGCCAAAGCTCGGGGCATCGTTGTTGCGCTATAATCACAAATCGTTCACTGATCCGGGACCTAATCATTGTTTGAGTCACATTTTAGGTTGTCACGATTTATTCTGCCCGTAATATTATCTATGATTTTAATATCAATTTTTGTTCATTATGCATATTTTGTAGTTTGTTAGATTAACTAATATAGATAATCTTAATAACAAATATTAGTGAGTCACATGCTGTATATTGCCAGAATAGTAAGATTAAAATTTTTACAGTATCTCACAGAAGAAATCATAATAATTTTTAATCCAAACTAACACAACCTTATAGTGTTTCATAATACAGACTAAACTTTAACTACGTATTGTGCATAGAATAGATTTATAACAGAATTTTTTATATATAGTAATTCATAATAATTCTATTACAAGCTAACTCTCATTACCAGAATAGTTTTTCCAATATAACTTTGACTAATTTAAACTTAACCTACAGAGATCAAAATGCAAGCTCAATTAATCACACTGTGGTCACCAGGATAGTAGGTAAATATTACAGAATTTGCTTATATAACTCAGTAAAAATCATGAAAATTCTATACAAAAATTTATACAACTTTACATTACAAATAGTGGTTACCAGAATAATAAATAATTTCAAAAAAAAAATGGTTTATCATAACTCTGATAAAAATCATAGTAAAATTAATGCAAACTAACTTTAAACATTATATACTGCATTATCACTCTTTTCAATTTAGTTTAATTTAATCACTATATGATTTTTTTTATGAGCTTCATGAGTTCTACAATTACTATACAAGTGATTACCTAAATTCATTATAGTTTCAGAATTTATTTTATTACTTTTTGGCATTTTTGTTATATTTAGTATAGTAAATTGGTTCTGGAAAATATAATATTATATATATTGTAATTGTGGGCCTTAGTAAGCTCACAAAAAATCACAAACTAATCAAATCCAACTAAATTAAAAAGGGTGATAATAAGTTCTTTAACAAACCATTTTGCAGTAACCTATGATAGATTTAATGGTAATTGATTGCAAATTAGCTCAACCATAGCAGCATATTGAAATAATAAGTAAGTGTTGTAACAGAATTGTTTACTGTAATTCATGATAGAATTTGTGATAATTTTAATAAAAGCTAACTCAACCTAAACCACATGACAGAAATCATGGTAATTTAAATACACACAAACTTAGCTACGTTTATTTATTGAAGAAATCAGGGTGCCATAGATGCCCTGATTTTTTCTTGTATGTGCTAAAATTCTATTAGCCAATTTAAATTGCAAATTATCATTATATTTTTTAATTAAAAATTAACTTTTTATATTAGAATAAGAGTAAGTATTCAGGTTAGAATTAGAGAAAGCTTATAAATAGCAAAATTTTGTAAAGAATTTTTAAAATTTTGAGTTATATACAATTTTTTAAAAAAGCTAACAATTTGTTTTGTTTTTATATTATATTTAATTATGTTTTGTAATTGGCTTAAAGTTAGATATTAGCAAACTTTTTATGCAATTACTATATATATATATAGCATGGTTATGATTATTAATCATAATAATTAATCAGAATTGTAAGAGTAAATTGAAAAGAATTCAAAGAAATTAATCTACAATATATAAGAGTATAAGTACGGATCGATATAATAAAGTATAAAGAAAAAAATAAAATTTAATAATTATGATGTAATCCTGATCTAAAATAAATACTTACTGATCACAATATTAACTCTCTTTCACATTGCATTTGTTTGATAAAATATTAATATGAATGAATTTAACTATTATTTTCATGACAAACAATATTCTTTTGCTTCAACTTCATCTCAAGCTTTAGAGATTACAATTGTATTGAGCTTTCTGTTCATGCTCTAGCCAAAATTATCACCATCTAATCAAATAATTTTAATAGCCTAATAAAATAATCTCGATGTCAAATATTGATGATTACTTTATTTATGATGATCAAAACACTTATACTATGACTTCATCACAATCACAAGTCATTGCTACTTCTGCTTTAACTTCATCACAAGTACCTGTGATTATCTTCCTCTTTACTATTCTATTCATTTCCTATTAGAGCTTGAAACTGGGTTTATTTTTTATATATTAAAACTGGTATTAATCAGCTTTATCATATAAAAAATAAACCCAGTTTAAAGCTCTAGTTTCAATTTGATATATATGCTAAACTAAATACCTAATATACTCTTTTAATAGCCTTATAAAATAATAACTCAATTTGATAATAAATCATATGAATCAGATGATAATTTATCTGATAATTAATATAATTCTCTAAAATTGGTTTCAGAGCTTCCCTTTTGTAACTGGAAAGAATTCAAAATGTGGTTGAATAAATATGCACTAAAGATTGGCTTTAGTTATAAAGTTAGAACAAGTGAAATAAAAGAGGGTGTTATGAGAAGAGCTACTTACAAGTATACCAAATCCAGTTCGCAAATTTTGCAAATTATATCGGATCCAATGAAGAGATGCAATACTTACTCTCAATGAACACAGTATCAATGGAGACTCAACATTACTTGTTCAAAGACAGGTGGAGCTATTGAAAAAATTAATTTATTTGTTGATGAACACAATCACACTCTTACCCTAATAATAGGTAAAATAGTTCCAAGGTTTTGAAAATTGATGAATGAAATGTTAGCTAATATAGAGAAGTATATTGTCCAGAGTGAATGGACTCAGGGTCTATCTATCTATTGTTAAAACATGATTATCTGGATCATCCAATTTATAAGTAGGATTTATATAATGCTATTTATCAGTTTTGTCAACAAAATAGTCTAGGTAATGCAGATGCCTCTCAAATATTACAGCTATTATTAGATTAGAAAGATTCAGAGCCCTTATAGGTTATAAAGCCTTAATTAGATCTGGTTTCAAGAAGATTAAACTCTCTTTTTTGGATGTTCCCTACTTAGAGAGAGCTATATTGCAGATACAATAATGTGGTAATAGTAGATACTACTTATAATACTAACTAATTTCAGATACTACTTTGTATTATAGCTATAGTAGATAATAATTTTAGAACTAGAATTTTTGCAAGTACTATAATCAAAGATGAAACAGTAGATACTTATCGATAGATCTTTAATAGTATATTTACTAAGATGGGCATTTCACCTGGTGTGATATTTACTGATTCAGATCCTTCTATGATCTGATCAATTATGGATATTTTCCCTACTACTCAGCATTTTTCATGCATTTTTCATATAGATATAAATATTCAAAAAAAGCTCAAAGAAAAACTCGACAATCAGTTTGAGGAATTTCACTATAAGTTTTTCCCATGTCAGAATTCTCTTTGCAAAGATCTATTTGAATGTCGATAGAGTCAATTAGTCAATCAATATCTAGCAGTTCTAAAATACTTATCTGAAACACTTTATGTTGTTAAGGAATTATGTGTGATGCCATGAATACATAAACATTTTACAGCTAGCATGCAAAGTTCGCAAAGAGTGAAATCAATAAATAAGAATATACATGACAAGGTTGATTAGTCAACATCATTGTGCAATTTATTACTTAATATTAAGAATTATGTAAAAAATGAAAAGCACCTAGAAAGGTTTGAGATTAAACAGAATTCTTTAAATGTAATTGGCATACCAATGTTAAATTCAAGGTTCTTTAATCAAGTAGACGTTATTCTTAAGAATTTTTTGACATCTGTGATGCTTGGTAAACAAAGGTCACAAATGAACAATCCTGTATATTATGATATTAACCAAATTACAGAGTGGCACAATTTGGTAGATGTAAGTACAGAAGTAATTATTTGTAATTTTATAATCATTAATTCAGGATCAAATCAATCTAATATTTTACAATTCATAGACAGAAGTTGATAGTAGTGAAAACAGTGTTGGTATTAGAGAGGAAGACCAGGATATACAACAAATTCTCTTTAGTTCATTGGTTAGAACTGTACCTAAAGAAACAATTATAAAAGTATAGAATATACATGCTACCAGGACCCAAGAAATAGGCTATTATATAATACTGCTTAATGAAGATATGCATTTATGCATCTGTCTTCTGTTAGTTAATAAGGGGTTGATATATCAGCATTTTTTCCATGTTGGAACTTACTCTCAACATGCCATGTTTTATATAAGCATAATTCTGAATTAATTGTATTCAAATCCTAACATTGGGCTAAATGACCTTATGCAACAATATTCACCTATTCTAGTATATAGCACAAAACCAAATAATATAATAGAATTTGAGAGAAGTATCAATTTCCATCATTTCTTTTTGATTTGGGCCAAATTATCTGCTTCTTATACCTCAGTAAAATCAAATAAATCTATATACACAGAGTTACTTGGATTATCAAAGAAACTCATCAATTATGCTATTTAGACCAATTTGAAACAAAATTTATTAAATATATTTAAGATATTAATTCACAATACTCAGAATAGTAATCAAGAAAAAGAAAATTACTTATTTGATACTTTCAATCAAGAAGAGGAAAATTACTTATCTAATGTTTTTAATCTTGCTATTATTAAACATAAAGGCCATCCTCCAAAAAGTCTTAAAGCTAGTATTAAAAACAATATATATAAAGATAAGCAAGTCTTAAAAGATAATATAAATAGTAGTAATAATAGTAATAAAAATATATGAAAATGTAGCAAGGCAAGTGGTATGGATATTATGCAAGACCTGCCAATATAACAAATAATGTTATTATGTAATAAGGCTAGAAATAGTATAAGCGTAACTTTATTTCTGCATGTTGATCAAAACTTTAATTGTCATATGAATATAGACTATTTTTTAATTATTAAATAAAATACATGTTTATATAAAACTAACTAATAAATAATAGTTTAATATATTAATATTTTTTTGCATTTATGATAATTTATGATACAATGCAAAAATACAAAAGAATTTATATAATCACAAACTATAATAAAATATTAGTAGTAGAGAATTTGCTATAGGTATTATATTTGTTGTAATATCAAGAGCTTATACTTTACTGATCTTTATTTTAGTAATACTTTTACATATTATAGATTATATAAATTGAGAGAAAGTACATGTTCACAACAAAAATTAGCTAAAGAATAGTGATTACCTTCTTTATAACTTTATAAATTCTTATATCTATTTGTATATATATTAACTAATAGTATATGATTCTTAACTTCCTTAAAGACTATAATATTAACTTAACCTTATACAATGTTCAAGCCTATACTAATAATACCTTTAATAATTTAGCAAATTACTTTGCAAATACCTATGCATCATCTTCTACTTTACTATTTAACTTTTTCAATATTCACAATCTTTTTTTCTTTTTTCAATAAAAAAACTTCTCTATCAATAGCTCTATCAAATAATTTATTAAAAATATCTGCAAAGCAAAAACTATTTCTATATAGTCTTTACAAAACTGTACCTCTG